AAGTGTGAGTTATAGGCAGCTTATCTGCTTAAAGTTTGGCTAATACGATAAGAGCAACGGGGAATTTATGGGCTCCTTAGATGAAGAAATGAATAGAATGCTTTTTACACAATTGGAGGTTAGGGAGGTTGAGGGGTGAGGCCTGTCGGGAAACAGGTGAGCAGGCAGACGCAGCTTCCAGGTGTGGCCAGGGGTCCTGGCAGTGGGCAGAGAGTGTGGGCTTGGACTGCCTGATACTGGAGAAGACAGATTCTCAGTGGCCCGCTGCTCATGGGAGGTGTGGAAGGAAGAGGATGAGAACACTAAGGCCACAAGTCCTGGTCCTGCAGGTCCAATGCTGTGTGCAAGGCCCAGCTGGCCTCATTTTTAAGGCATCTGACCTGTCCTAATGGGATCCTAGAATGGGAAGGGAGAGTAGGCAGGCAGAGCGGAGGAAGGTGGTGGACCCAGTCACTCTGGACGTGTGGCTCTTGGCTCTGCTGCACCATGGGGACTTCTGGGCAGCCTTGGTGATCCTGATGCCCAGGCCACACACCTCCTCACTGTTTCAGGATCTCTAGGGGTGGGCCCTGGTGAGTTTGATGCCCAGCCAGGGTGGAAACCCACTGCTTTTGTCTCTAGTCCAAGGACTGGTGGGGGCAGAACTAGGCACCACGGGGCACGTAGGGACCGATCAGGCCTGAGGCCTGACGTTTCCCCTGCGCACTGACGAGCACGGGGCCAGGATTAGTTAACCAGGAGTCTGAGCCGGTCCCCACCCAGGACAGTCCCCGACCTCCACGGGCACTTGCAGCAGCGACTGGGGTGGGGAAGGAGTGCTACAGAACAGGGCTGGGAGCATGTGGCACCCCAGGACACAGCTCCTCATGAGCACAGACAGCAAGCCATTCCTTTCATTTGCTCCCTGAGGTCAAGTGACAGAGCTCTCATTTTGTATTGGGATTTGGATTTACTGCGTGTTCCCAGAAGGGCACTGCCACAGACACACCATTAAAAAAAAGTCATACTCTTGGGTGTGGGACCGGTCCTCACAGAGAGGCCTGGTCCCTGCGAACTCTCCGGAGCTTGGCGGTTCCTGGGAGACTGATGTGGGCATTATCTCTGGAGGGGCTCCCACCGGGCAAGGTAGAGTCTGTATGTGACAGACACTGAGGGGTGGGGACTGCCCAAGGCCACACAGGGTAGAGAGGTTTGAATTGAGGTTCCTTCCTTCCTGTCCCCTGCTCTTTCACTCCCCAAGACTCCTGGACACAGGCAAGAGCTGAAGTTTTCCCCGAGGACTTGGAGACCCCTGGCAGGCCTCCTCCTGCCACCTTGGGAGAAGAGGGGCTTGAGGTTATCTGGTCACCACATGGTTCCTTTCTGGGTGGAAATATGTCCACACTCAGGAATTAAGGGGGCTCTAGGAAGGGGTTAATCTCATTTCCTCAGACGTAAAAACCATCCTTGGCAGTTGGAAGCGGCAGATTTGACTCTGGATGACTAATGCCCCTTGTGGGGGACATATACCTGTCCTCACGTGCCCCTGGCAGGGATTTAAAGTGCTGTGCAGCGTTTCCCCGAATCCTAAATCAAGTCTATTCATCCCGCGGCTGGTGAAGCCTGTGAGCGGAGGGGCTCCTGTTAAATCGCCCTCTCTGGGCTCCTGCTCCCAGCCCACAGTCACAAATTCCCGGTAATGAGCACGGCTGAAGAAGCCATGACAGCGCTGCACGCTAAATTAAGAGTGGGGCCCAGGGCAGGGGAGTGTTTGCTTTGGCTGTGGTGCCGCCTGGGCTCCGTGTTGCCTGGCAGGGTGACCTGATAAGTGGGCCGCGTGTGCAGCGCTGGGCGGTGGGCCCTGGGCCACCTGCTGGCCTTCGTCCTGACTGCGGGCAAGGGGCTCCTCATCACACCCTCATCTCCCTTTGTCACTTAGAAACCAGAATCATTGTATATTTTTTCCTTTTAAGACTGAAAATTGGATCCTGGGATTTTTGTTTGTTTGGATGAATTACTTCCTGGCTACAGGGTGGCTGGAGGCACAGTCACCCCTGCACCCATCCTGGTCCCTCTTCTTGAGGACAAGAGGTCAACTCCCTGTAGCAGAGTGGCACATCTTGGTGGCGGTAACTTTTTGAGGCCCCATAGCGCAGTGCAGAGAGCAGCAGCCTGGGCTACCCTGCCTCTGCCAGGCACTAGCTGGGTTGCTTGGGCAGGTTCTTTGACTTCGAAATGTCTTTGTCTCCTGTGGTCAAAGGGGGAAGGTATCTGGGCTCTGGATGCCGCGTAGGAGTGTGGCGAGCATCAGATGAGGTCAGGTAACTTGAAGGACCACAAATGTCAATTCGCCATCGAGGTTCTGATGAATGTGTCCCCGGCTGCAGTGTCTGCACGGTCAGGGTCAGTGCCCCAGGAAGACGCCATCCTGACAGAGACCTTGGGTTTGCACCTGTTCCTCTAAGAGAGCTGGGTTACATCTCCCTGATGTGAACTTGACTGCTCACTTGCAGGCCTCTTGCGGGGAGGGATGGGGGTTGACCTCTGGAGTCTGGGACCAAGGGGAATCCAATGGCGGCCCCTTCCTTCTGATGACCCGGAGACCGCCTCTGCTCACTTTCTCAGGGAAGTTTCTCCAGCAAGTCTCCCCTGTTCCCCACAGCACCCGCTCCTCTCCCCACTGGCCACTCCTTGACATGTCTTCCTGGTCGCCACTTACAGTGAGCGAGACCCACCCCTGGCCTCCTGCCTCCCTTAGCTCCAGCCTTACCCCTCTGTCCTCCGCTCAGCTGGCCTCCCTGGGGGGTTGCCTCTGCTCACTGCCTCAGCTTCCTCCCCTCCATTCTTTCCTCACCACACCCAGGTCCCACAACTACTGTCTGTGACATTCCAAAGAGCCAGTGGTCAACACCTGCCCTTCCTCCCTCAGCCTCTCAGCACAGTGGACACTATAAGCATCTCTCCTTGGAAGCCCTTCTTCTGCAGACCTCCTGAGGCCACACACCTCTCGCCTGCTGTCCCTGCTCAGACCCTGGAGGTGCCTTCTCGGGGTCTCAGCTTCCTCCCCACCTTGCAGGGTTGGGGCTCCCCAGGCAGTTCCTTAGCAATGGGAACAGCTCTGTGCACTCCTCAGAGGAGACCCCGGCCCGCCTCCTGCTCTAAGCACTTCCAGGCATGATGGCTTCCTATTTCTTCTTCTAGCCTTGGTTCTCTCTTGAGCGCCTCGTGCTCTGCGGCCTCCTCCACGTCTCCTCTGGGATGTCAGTGGTAGCCCACCGGAATTCGGTAAGGCTCCCGCCCTTCCCTCTGACATCCCCTCGCCTCTCACGTTCCAATAAATGGCTCCACCATCCTCTTAGCTGCGCAGATGGAAAGTGCAGGAGATGCCTGACTTCCGTTTCCCCTTCCATCTCGTGTCCAGTCTCCTGGTGGCTCTCGCCCCTTGCCTGCACCTTTACAGTCGTCGCCTGTAGCGGGTCGACTCCTGGTCTGCATGGTGGCCAGGGCAAGCTTTCTCAGGCGTCTCTCAGATCCCGTCACTCCCATGGTCACAACCCCCCAGGGGGCTCCCGCGTACCTGGATAACGTGGCCCTGCGCGGCTCCTGCCCTCCAGCCCTCACACCTCCTTCCCTCCCAGGCTTTCCACCTTCTGCCCTTCTGCTTGGACTGCGGCTCCAGAATGTCACATGGCTGCTGTCCTCATTATTCAGCCACGAGTTTAGGGTTCTCTTCTCCTGAGAGGCCTTCCCACCTACAGTCTTCTGAGCTGCTGTCCACGACACTGTCTCACATCACCTCCTCTGTTGACGCGCTCATTGCTTATCTCCTGCACCCCCACAATGTCAGTTCTCCAGGGCGGGACTCGACTTTTCCTGGTGTCGTCCCAGCACTAGCAGTAGAACCTGGCATACAGGAGGTGCCTAATAAATAGTGTTTGTTGACCGACTGGCTGCTCACTGTTGTTCAGTGCCTGACATATATCATCACAGTATTTTAGGCACTGATGGGGCCTTTGAGATCACCAAGTATGATTTTCTTCTCTTTTTTAGACAAGGAAGCTGGGGATGAGAGAAGGTGAAGATGTCACAGCAAGTTGGTGGCAGTGTTGGGCTGTCACAGGCCTCAGAAAAGACCTGATGAGGTGCCAGTGCCGCTCTTCCTGGTGGCAAAGGCAGCACAGGAAGCAGGCTGGTGCCCAGTGAGGGTGCCCGCTTGCTCCTGGAGAGGATGGCAAAGGCCGACCTGGGCTGTGGTGCTGTGACATGTGCAAACCATAGAGAGCAGTGCAGCAGCTGAGGCGGCCTCTGAGCAGGTGTGAGCCACGAGAGCCAAGCCTTTCCTGTCCCGCTGCTGTGGTTTGAGTCTGCACAGGTCCATGTGTTGGAGGCCTGCTCTCAGCGTGGCCATGCTGGGAGTGGGGCCTCGGGGGAGGCCCGTAGGTCCTGGGTGTGCCCTCAGCAGGGAGTAAGGCAGTTCTGGGGGCCTTGAGCTAGTTCTTGAGACGAGTTGCTATAGACAAACCTGACTCCTGAGTCACTCTGGCTCTGGGCCTTGTGTGTGAGCCCTCCCTGTCACTCCCGTCCACCATGAGGTCTTCCCCACAGCTGAGCTGATGCGAGTGCCATGTCCTGTAACTGTAAGTAGAATGCATCTCTTTTCTTTATTAAGTTTCCCAGTCCCAGGTATTTTGTTACAGTAACACACACACTGTCAAGGCGGGGCTCCTTTGGCATGGGAAGGCAATGCTGAGCCTGCCTAGGAGCCTTTGGATTATGGGGTAAGGCTAAGACTAAGTGCAGGGCTGGAGCAGGAGGCCCTGGGCCTTGTCCCTGGGGCATGGAATGCAGGAGAAGTGGCCTGTCCACAGCAGATGGAGATGGTCAGCTGCTGAGAGGAAGGGGGCAGGCCAGTGACAAGGGCCAGGAAGGGCCTTCTCCTTGTCTTCCTGTCGTCTGACACGCCACACATATTTCCTCCATGACTGATGCAGTGTCCTGGGGCCTGGGCCCTCAAGTGGTGTTTACATCCACACTTGTTGGCAAGAACCACGCTCCAGGAGGAGAGCGAGAGTTCCAGCCGGGGATTCCACAAACCACCACGCATCGCTCAGGCCCTTCCTGTTTGGAGAAGGCTGGGCAGGAGAGAGAGCCGCCTTCAGGGACAAGGAACAAACGGAGCGGAAGGCCTGGAGAGGGAGAGGCTCTGCCAAGTGGGCTCTGCTGCACTCGGGCCTGTTTGGGCCATTCTCGTCCCTTCTCCAGGGGGAAGCAGAGGCCAGCACGTGGGAAGGGCCCAGCCCAGGACGCTTCCTGCTGCCTTCCCACTGGGCTGTCCACTCCAGCCTCCCCATGCCGCCCCCATGCTGGTGAGCAGAGTGGGCCCTGGGCCCTGGGGAGCACTTACATTTCTTCTGCAAAATGTTCTGCCTGGCCTTGAGGAATGCCAGGATGTCAGAGTCCGTCTGGCTGTCTCCGGTGAGAGGGACGGACGAAGTTGTCTTCTCAGGGATGCTGGGGACAGTGACATGTCGCACTTTACTACTCCTTATGGTGGGACTCAGCATTCAATTTTCCAAAATGTGTTCCCATTTGTGGGGAGTAACTCTCACCAGGTGCGTGTGACAGCCTGCCTCCTTCTCCCTCCCTCCCACCTTCTGCACAGCCACTCCTGTCCTTTTATCAGCACATTGGGTCATGCACTCCCTGGCTTAGACTCCTCTCATGACTTTTGGAGTAAAATTCAAACTCTATCCAGTGACCTTCCAGGTCCTGCGGGTGTTTGGATCTCCCACCCACTGTGCCCCCACACGACCCTGGGGCCACCCTGACCCTCTTCCTTTTTTCTGCTACTGAATATGTGAAGCCCCACCCAGCCTCAGGGCCTTTGCCTTCGCTATCTCCTCTCCCTCCACCTCTGTCTCCATCCCTCACCTCCACACCTGTCCTCATCCTGGACTTTCCCAAACCAACCTCCTTTTACCCAGCTCTCTTCTTAGATGAGACATCTTTAAGGATGCCCCCCCAATACATATACACGCCCCCACCATGGTCTAGCTAGTTGCCCCCAAGGCCGAGATCCATAATTCTCCTGTGTCTCCCCAAAAAACAGAACCATGTTTAGCTAAGTACAAAAAAAAGCTCGCCTCCCCAGAATCCTTTGCAGCTCTGTGTGGCCAGGGAGGTTCGTGAGCAGAAGCTCGTGTGGGATTTTCAGGGAATCCCTTATAAAGGGAGGGAGGTCTGCACCCTTCCCCTCCTCTCTCTCCATTCGGACTTCTAGATTGCTCTAAGAAAAGTCAGAGTAGCACACTCCCCTGGCTGTGCCAATCCTCAGCCTGACACCCGTCACTCCACCACTGGCACCACTGCCTTAGAAGGCCAGGAGGGCTGTTAACAAGGCCATGATCACGAGTGGTTCTGGGTGTGGGGATTCCAGCTGCCGCTCAGCGAGGGGCCCTGTAGCAGGAGCTGCTGGCCATCCTGGGTTCGGGAGGGGAGGGACCATGGTGGGGTTCCGCGAGCTCTGGGAGAGGAAGAGGCCTGCCAGTTGAGCGGGCGCTGTAGTCAAGGCCACCAAGAGCACTCAGGCCAGGAGCCTTAGCAACTCTGTTCAGTCCCCAAGCAAAAGGCTTCTGGCTGGGGCCAGGCGGCCGGCTCTGCTTTGGCAGAGGGCCTGGTGGGTTTGGTTGGAACTGCCCGCGGGCTGGCTCCTCTTTCCTGTGTGACTTCAGGTACATTCTTCACAAGGAACTTGAAGCACCTCTGCTGGACAAGGACCCGGTGCCCTGGGAGAGAACTCCCCAGCTTTGAGAATCAGAAAGCATGAGAGATTCCATGGGATCCCCAGGGGACAGGACGGGGGCCAGCCCTGGGCTCCACCTGGGCGGCTTTGGGGGAAGAGAATGTGACTTTTACTGCAGAGGCCGTCACAGGCATCGAGAGGGAGGGAGGCCACCAACCTGCCTTCCAGCCAGGTGCCAGTGCTGCTCTGCTCCGGGCTGCGCGGGCTGGGGCAGGGCGAGGGCGAGACCTTTCTGGCACTCACGACACTGCAAAAACCGACAAAAGCCAAAGTTAGAGGGGATAAGAAGGGAATGCAGGGGCTGGGGATGTGGCTCAAGTGGTCACGCGCTCGCCTGGCCTGCGCGGGGCGCTGGGTTCGATCCTCAGCACCACATAAAAATAAAATAAAGATGGTGGGTCCACCGAAAACTAGAAAATAAATATTAAAAAAATTCTCTCCCTCTCTCTTAAAAAAAAAAAAAAGAGAATGCAGGGTTTACGTTGTTTATATCCAGCAGCTTTTGTGAACTGCATGTCCTTCCCACATTCCTATGTTGAGGTCCCACTCCCCAGTGTAATGGCGTTTAAAGGTGGGGCCTTGGGGGGTAATTAGGTTTGGGTGAGGTTTGAAGGTGGCCCTCAAGATGGGGTTAGTGTCCTTATGAGGAGGGAGGGAGAGGCCAGAGCACTCGGCCTGAGTCTCTCCCTGGACACTACGAGGAGGAGGTGTGGCCAGCCAGGAAGGGGGCCCTCAGCAGGAGCAGATCTGCTGTGCCATAGAGTTCCTATGTGGAACCGGCCCCAGGGGGATGGGATCAGGAGGCCGGGCCTCTGAGATCAGAGAAAGCCCTCATGAATGGGGTTAGTGACTTTATAAAGGAAATATCAGAAGCACTGGCCCTTTTTCCTATGTGAGGGTCTTTACCAGACACCAAAATTGCCAATGCCATGGTCTTGGGCTTCCCTGCCTCAAGAACTGTGAAAAACAAACGTTCATTGGAAAACAAATGAACTGGGCACAGGGGTGCACAGCAATGATCTCAACCACTTGGGAGGCTGAGGTGAGAGGCTGGCAAGTTTGAGGCCTACCTTGACAGTTCAGTGAGACTTTGTCTCAAAAATAAAAAATAAAATAAAAAGAAAAGGGAGTGTAGCTCAGTAGTAGAGCATCCCTGTACCCTCCACATGCACACACAAACACACACATAAACCAAAACCCAAAACCCCAAACCCCAAAAGAAGAACCAAACAACCACAATAACAACAACAAAACCCAAATGAGCCAACCCAAGCTCTGGGATTTTGCTATAGACGTGGCTAAGTGCCAAGAATCCTGTCTTGGGTGGCTGAACACTGATTTCATTGTTGTGGCAAACCATGTGTTGGCCGTAGAAGGTGAACAACAGGCAGTGAAGACTGTCACTGCTTACAGGCCAGGCCTTGAGAGGGTGCTCGGGAATTGCCGTGCCATTCAGTCCTCTCAGTGGTAAGAGGAGGATGTCATTATCCTAATTCACAGATGAGAAAACTGAGGTGTAGGGCGAAGCTAGGGAAATTCCAGTAGGTGGCAGCATCTGGACCTCATCATGACTGCGAGGCCCGGGCCTGAGCTCTCGACTGCTAGCTCCACACTGGCTTTCCCCTGGCCACAGTGACCACCCCAGGGGGCCTCAGCTGCTGACTCTGTGCTCCTGGAGTGAGAAGTCATATCTGACGGCTCATCAGGTGCACTGGGCCCCTTTACCATGGTGGCCTGATGTGTGTGGCTTGCCTTGGATTCCTGGCTGCAGACAGTGGAAATCAGGGCCCCTCCTGGGTGCAGACGAGGTGAGGGCCAGTTTTTCTAGTTACTCTGCCCTGCTCTAAGCTGTGCTGTAAGCCCCTGGAGATGGAATTCTCTTCCTTGCTCTGGGATGGTCCTGTGTAGAGACGATAGCAGAGCTCAAAGAGACCAAGAAGTCACATGGGACACACTTGGGGAGGCTCAGGCTGAGTGTCAGGCCAAGGACAAACAGGTGAGCTGGCCTTGCCAAGCCTGCATGGTCAGTCCAAGGCATCTGCAGGCCTGATGACCCAGGTGTCCCACAGGTGAGTGGAGACACTGCCCAGCTCCTCTTCTACCCTCTCCAACCTCAGCCAGTAGCAGGGCTCTTACTCTGGACTCAGGACAGTGGGTCAAATAAACAGGAAGAAAATCAGAGCCCGGTCCCCGCTCCTCCCCCTAGTGCTCATTTCCTAGCAGTCTGGAGTCTCCCTGGGGCGCCTGGGAGAAGCTGGGTCTGTGCTGTGTCGGGCGAGGGCTGCTGCAGGACTGGAGGCAGCCACAAGGTGGCAGGCTGTGCACGTTTGCCTTTGGAGAACACTGGCCAGTTCCCAGGGCTTCCGAGGGGTTTCTGGTGCCAGCCTGGCGAAGGGAAGGAGAAAGGGCTTTTCATCTTGCAGGTGTTTCAATTACAGCAGGCCAAGGTCAGTGCAGAAAGTGTAGCAAGTCTGCAAGACCAAGTCATTGGTACACAAATGGCTCATGGGCTCCATGGCTTCCAGTGGAGTCTTTGTAGATTCCAGGGGGAGTTTATAGATGTCAAATTGTTGAGGGTCAGGAGTGGGTAGAAGAGGAGGAGAAATGGATGAGGGCAGGGCAGAAGGGTGTGATGGCACCGAGGCAGATGGGGACATGCAGCACCCCCTGCAGAGGCCAGCCATGTCCTGCAGGAGGACACATGGCACTATGTGCAGGCCTGGGGCTCCTGAGGGAGCGACTCCCCACCTCCTAAACTGCTGGAGTATCCCTGGGGGCCAGGGCTCAGTTTCCTGACCCTCAGGAGTGTGCCACAGATGACCTCTGCCCTGTTTGTCCAGCAAGCCTTTGACACTGAATTCATTTCTCATGCTCTCTCTCCTGGAAAGGGAGCATATCAGCTATCAGAATGAATTATCTCCTTAATAAAAATTAATAAACCACTCTTTCTCTTCAACGAGGCTCCTGAGTGGATGCAGAGATGCAGATCTTTGTGAAGACCCTGACAGGCAAGACCATCACCCTCGACGTTGAGCCCAGTGATGCCATCAAGAATGTCAAAGCCAAAATTCGAGACAAGGAGGGCATCGCACCTGACCAGCTGGAGGACAGCTGCACTCTCAGGTCACAACCTCCAGAAAGTCCACCTGCACTTGGCGCTTCACCTGCGAGGTGGCATCACTGAACCTTCCCTGTGCACTTGCCCAGAAGTACAGCTGTGACAAGATGATCTGTCACAAGCGTTAAGCCCACCTGCACCCCCTTGCTGTCAGCTGCTGCAAGTAAAAGTTGGCCACACCAACAACCTCCGCCCCAAGAAGGTCAAATAAAGCCCCTCCACTGGCTCCTTTCCCCAAAGGGTGGCCTCCTGTCCAAGCCCCATGCATGGCCTTGGGTTCTCAATAAAGTTTCCCTCACGTTGATTGGAGCAGTAAAAAAAAAAAATTAATAAGCAATGTTGATGATACTTAGGCTTCTTGGGTTGCCAGGGCATTTAGTATGGTCAGCCCTCAGGACCTGGACGCTGGGCTTTTGGAAGCTGGCGGGAGGACCAGCTCACTGGCCTGAAGAGCGTGTAGAGAACAGCCGCCATGGAGTTCAGGTGAACACAGTCGCTGGGCTCTTGCTCTCTTTGCAGAAACTCTTTAATGGTGCTGAATGTTCATCTGCTCGTGGAAGGATAATGTAGAGCGACCCTGGTGCGATTTACAGATGAGGCCAGGGAATCGCAGAGTGGGGAGCTGCCTTGCCCAAGGCTGGGCTGCTGTGGCAGAGTCCCTTTGTCAAAATCTTAGTGATCAAACTCCTCGGAGGTGACGCCTTGGAAGCCCGAGGCCCTCAACGGCAGGGTCCAGGGTCTCTCGGCGAGCATGCCCAGGAGAGGTCTTGGAATACCTAGGGGACACCCAGGAATGGCTAGCAGAGCAGGCCCCATGCAGGCGAGGAGGAAGCTGGCGAGGGGCAGAAGCCAGGAGGCCAAGCCCTGGGGCTGGTGCTTAGACCTGCCCCACCACGGCCTGCAAAGGTGGCCGCAGAATGGACGAATGGCCAAGCTGTACAGAGTGGCCAACAGGGAGCGGGCCAAAGGGCAAGACGCTCAGGAAGAAGGAAGGAGAAGGGAAGGAAAGGTGGGGGTGAAGGGAGGGCTGCAAGAGAAGGAAGGGGACAAGGAGCGCAGCAGAAGGGGACAGGCAGGGAGAGCAGGGTGGAGGACGGGAAGGACGGAGGGGTCTGGCCACTAGATGTGGAGTTTGAAGCTCTGTCTCAACGACACAGTTAAAAAGAATCCCATTCTTTTCTGGGGCCTTGGTTTCTTTATTTGTAAAATGAGGGAGCTGAATTCAGAGTTTCTCACTGAAATGGCGAGGAGCCAGTGACAGGGAGTGTGGCTTCCCAGTTCTTCAAAGGCCACCTTCTAGGGACATACAGGATGGCTCTTTGAAAGTCCTGGCCCCTTCGGGAAATCAGCTGGTGGGGACACCTTGAAGGAGTGAGGCCCCCAGCCGGGGCCTGGCCCGGCAGGATATTAGTTTGTGTGAAATATTTCAAGATGTGGATGAGAAAGTGACAAGTCTACTAGGCACACTGTACGCTTGCCCCTGGGGGCAGTCGTTAATGCTAAACAAAACTGGTGTCAGAAGTGAGGACAGTGATGAGACTTGGACAGGCCTGGCTTTAGTCCTGGCCTCTCTGCTAATTGGCTGGGTGGCCCTGAGCAAGTTATTTAATCTCCCTGAGCCTGATTTTCTCAACTACTAAATGGGGAACAATTCTGACACTGCACAGTCATTCCGTGCCTGGCCATGAGGGCCTCAGCAAGTGACAGTGGGTGTCATTACCGTAAGAGGAGGGCCATGCCAGCTGCTGGGGGTCCTCTTTGGCTGGCTGTTCAGAGTGAGCTGCCCCAGGACAGGGTCTCTTCCCGCCTCGGCTCTGGGTGGAGCTTCGTGGGCTCTTTATTGCCACCATTCTGAGCCAGTGGCAGTGGCTTCTGAGTCAGAGACTGAGCCAAGTCTTCTCCCCCTCCAGCCTCCAGCAGGGACACTGTCCTCTCTCCTCTCTATGTGACCTTCCCACTCACCTGTCCTCAAACTATCCTGTACTCAAACTACCGTGGTGGGTGGGGACTGCGGGGAGCTGACCCTCACGGTGTCTGAAACGCTGGTTAGGACACTTCTCTGCTGAGGGTCACAGTTCTCAAGCAGAGCACCAGCAGCCAGTGCAGGTGACAAGGCCCCAGGCCCCACCTGAGAGCCGTCCTCTGGGCACCTCCCCAGCCGTCAGGGCATGGGAGCCCAGGAGTGGGATTCTGGGAGACTCACAGAAGAGCTCCTGCGGGTGGTCCCAGGTGAACTGTGGAAAGCCAGGGTGCAGGGATTTCCTGGCAGGCACGGCCGATTTCTTACCTTATAACCCCGGGCCAGGTGGGTGCTCATTGGAACCGTCCCGACACCTCAGCCCACCCTTATTTCACTGTCTGTGAAGCAACAGAAAAAAGAGCCGGGGCTTCCTATGGGCTGAACAGGGTATTCCTGGCCCTAGGAGAGGGGGCTCTAGCCTCCAGGCCGTGGGGGAGCTTGTCCTCACAGGCCACAACAGTACCCGGGGGCTCTGTCCTCTGTGCTGGGCTTTCAGATGTGTTTTGTGGAGGCCTGGGGTTTTAGGGAGGAGTTCTGGATGGGGACAGAGGTTGGCAGATACACAGGGTGCAAGGGAGCACCTAGAGGACGCCAGGTACAGGGCACAAGGCTGGGCTGCCTCTCCCGCCCGGGCAATGCAGGTGCCTAGTGACGCTGCCTTTTCCATTTTTTAAACTAATAGACTAATTTTTTTTTGGTACCAAGATTGAACCCAGGGAAGCTTAATCACTGAGCCACACCCCCAGCTCCTTTTTGTATTTTATTTAGAGACAGGGTGTTGCTGAGTTGTTTGGGGCTTTGCTAAGTTGCTGAGGCTGG